GGAAGTCTGCAGATAAACCTTTCTCTTCCAGATGAAACTGGCTCTATGGAAGGAGTGTGCACCACCAGAGGACTCCCCAACCCACCAGATCATGTGACCAGCTACCTAAATAACATGGTTAAAAACACTTAAATCCTCCACTCTCCTCTCCTGTACAATTTGCATTACTGCGTAATGTATTGCTGGGAGTTGTAGTCCTCCTATAGCTGGTGGTATTATTCTGCATTGCTGTATAATGTATTGCTGGGAGTTGTAGTCCTCTATAGCTGGTGGTATTCTGCATTGCTGTATAATATATTGCTGGGATTTGTAGTCCTCTATAGCCGGTGGTATTCTGCATTGCTGTAGAATGTATTGATGGAAGTTGTAGTCCTCTATAGCTGATGGTATTATTCTGCATTGCTGTATATTGTATTGCTGGGATTTGTAGTCCTCTATAGCTGGTGGTATTATTCTGCATTGCTATATAATGTATTGCTGGGAGTTGTAGTCCTCTATAGCTGGTGGTATTCTGCATTGCTATATAATGTATTGCTGGGAGTTGTAGTCCTGTATAGCTAGCGGCATTCTGCATTGCTGTATAATGTATTGCTGGGTTTTGTAGTCCTCTATAGCTGGTGATATTCTGCATTGCTGTATAATGTATTGCTGGGAGTTGTAGTCCTCTATAGCTGGTGGTATTCTGCATTGCTGTATAATGTATTGCTGGGATTTATTTTCATTATATTTTTTACCTAAATAACTTTAATTTTGAAGGAACTTTATTTAGAGAACGATATTGAGGAACGCACCGAGGAATCGGCTCTGAAAATACTAAAGAACAACGTGAGCTGCAGATTTTATATTCTCCTCAGGGAGGTAATCATACTCCAGGAGACAGGAAGAGATAAGAGGAAAAGACAGGAAGTGATATACAGACAGGAAGTGATGTAGCACCCAGACAGGAAGTTCCGGGTGAGTTGGGAGGAAGTCGGGAGGAGACATTGTTGGAAGTAGAGGAGGTAAGAAGATGTTATTTTTTGCGTGTGGATATAAACGCTTCCATGAAGCTGTCTCGGGGTTGTCTCCTCTATAATGGACACCAGGTCCTCTCTGGAGAGGAAGAAGACGGATCTACAATACAATTTCTAATCCGGGGGCAGCCGAGGGAATGATGATCCCTACAGGAAGTAGAAGAAGGAAGGGATGAAGCTCCTGAATTTAGGGATTTGATGGAACTGCAACCCAGAACCTCACATTATGCTAGAGGAGGCTTTTTGGTTCTCCTCACCATCACCTGACCGGTTGTCCAGCCTCGGTCATGTGATCCTGAGCACCAATCACAGCACAGATGCCCCCAGACCTATTTTGGTGGGGTTGGCCGTCGGGGTGACATCAATGTCCTGAGTACATGTCGTGCTTAGTGACAGTCATAGGACACAGCTCACAATATAGACATTCCCGGCCTCTGTGCACACAGAACAACGTCACGTCTACATCTCCTCCATCATACGTGATCGGTGTTCTTTGGTAACCCTTTTAGTAGACCCCTAGTGTCACCTTTCCACCCCAAAGTAGCCATGGGAGTGCAGATCACGCTTCCTGCTCGGCTTCTGAAGTTGAGCAATGACAGCTGAGGGACCGCAAGTGATGCAACCAGCGTCCCTTCCGGACCCATTCAGCGGGGAGGAGATCGGTGAATGGATGTTCTTCAGTCTCCTATCCCATTGACACCCATGACAACAGAAGGGGCAGTGGAGCTCAGGAAGAAAGGCGGAGATGTTGGGTTCTGTACCAGCCCCTGGAAGCAACATGGCGGCAGCTCAGCCAGCAGAATCACTTCCACTGTAAAGCCGGCAGTTGGCTTTACACATGTGAACAGTCTGGGGAAAGGGGCCCATTGCCAGTGACGTATGAGATACGTCGGTGGCAGCGAAAGGTCTCCATGTGGATTCTCCTCAATCCAGTATTTACCAGGTAATGTTCCCTTTAAAATCCAACTAGAGACAGAAGAAACTTCATCAGAAGACCCCCAACCCTTCTCTCCATCCAACCTCAAGTATAACATTTGGACTACAGTGGGGTAATAAAGGACAGTTCTGGTTTTCTTCGAGTTGTATTAATACATGAGGCCGGTAATATAATATAAGAAGCCCTCTGAGATGTCAGAACTATGGAGGAACATGATGGAGAACTATGGAGGAACATGATGGAGAACTATGGAGGAACATGATGGAGAACTATGGAGGAACATTATGGAGAACTAGGGAGGAACATTGTGGAGAACTATGGAGGAACATTATGGAGAACTAGGGAGGAACATTATGGAGAACTAGGGAGGAACATTGTGGAAAACAATGGAGGAACATGATGGAGAACTATGGAGGAACATTATGGAGAACTAGGGAGGAAAATTATGGAGAACTAGGGAGGCACATTATGGAGAACAATGGAGGAACATTATGAGGAACTAGGGATGAACATTGTGAACTATGGAGGAACTCTGTGTAGATATCATTCACCACCAGGACAGTGCAGATCATTCTCATTTTATTATTCCTCTACAGGGAGGAATGTCCGGAATAGATCATCAATAAGGATGGACGAGGACCAAAGTCACATGACTGAGAGGATATTAGACCTCACCCTAGAGATCATCTACCTGCTGACCGGAGAGGTGAGGAGGATTCAGGGAGGTCAGAGGACATCATTGTCTATAGCTAAACCACAGACCTTACTGAACTGGTGAGGAGGATTCTGGGAAGTCTACTGATAATTGTTACTCTCTCTCTCTTTACTCAGGATTATAAGATAGTGAAGAAAGTATCTGGCGAGCCGATAACACCCAACAGATGTCTTCAGAGGACATCAACCATCACAGAGCCTCCACCTCACTGCCTGACATTTGAGAGAAAAGTGACGATTCTTGAAGTCACCAAGAAGATGATGGATCTGCTGGCGGGAGAGGTGAGCGGTGCCGGGAATTCTGGGACATGATCCAGGAACAGACAAGGGGTGTGTCTGGGTGGTGACTGTATCATTGTGTGTGTCAGGTTCCTATAAGGTGTCAGGATGTCTCTGTCTATTTCTCCATGGAGGAGTGGGAGTATCTAGAAGGACACCGGGATCTCTACAAGGACGTGGTGATGGAGAATGCCCCGCCCCTCACATCACCGGGTAAGAGGAGAGAGCAGTACGGAGGCTCCGCCTACACCCCCCATCATCTGATACACACATAGAAACAATGTATTCAGTCATTGTGTGTCTCCTACAGATGGATCCAGTAAGAGGAACCCACCAGAGAGATGTCCCCGTCCTCTGTATTCCCGGGACCCCACCCAGGAAGATCTCACCATCCCCCACCATGATCAGGTAGATGGGACTAAGGTGTTAGACCTAAATATAATTCCCATAGGACCTTCTTCTATGTCAACTCTTGTTCCTTTTTACAAATGTATTCTATCATCTTTAGAGTAAAGAAGTTAAAGATATCAAAGTTGAGGTTAAAGAGGAAGAAGAAGAGATGTTGGTGAGTGGAGCTCAGCAGTCTATGGAGGAGGGGGAGATGATTGTGAAGAGTGAACAGGAGGAATCTTCTCTACATATGGACACAAGTAAGTCATAAACACTAAATGTAGAAACACTTAACAAAAACATATGAAGGTCCATCTCCATTCCCCAATATAACGTCATGTGACCAACAAATGAGGAGGAGATACTGGACACCATATGAAGGTCCATCTCCATTCC